GTCATACCTCAGGAATTTTTTATACCCATGCAAAATACATCTGTATGCGAAGTTTCAAGAAGATTTAACGTTTAAGGTCGAAAAAAAAGCATTTGAAAATTGACAAAAATATTGCCATATTCAAAGTGCTCATAGTGGCCAACAAGATGCCGATGACGAAAATAACATCACTTGAAAAACGCCAATTTATTTATGTTTAAGAGCGACTAAAACAAGGACTAAAAGCTCAGGATCAATAACCATACCTGGGGTTTAGTACAACATAAGTTTTGGGACTGTCAAAATGTTTTATAGTATATATTTTTGAGTTGAACGGCGAGATTTCCTTCGGCACGTCCAAACTTTCGTCATTTTTTCAAAATACAAAAGCAAAATTCCTTACTTTTTGCTGCAGAGAGATGTAAAACAGTCGGAACTAATCGGAAACTTGGTTTAAATCTCAATCATTGTTGTATTCCCATGGGAAAAGTGTTTTTCTTGCAAATTTTTGCTCGAAAACAAACTTTTGGCAGAATTTTTTTCACTCCTCGAAACTCTCCTTAGTCCTTTTGAAAGCTGATTTTCCCGCGCGCCGGCTTCAACGAATCATAGACTTTCATCATAGGAGTTAGCCTTCCAGTTATTATTAGAGTTCACTGGGTCGACTCATTGAACTATAAATAAACTGGAAGGCTAACTGCTATGATGAAGGCCTATGATTTGATGAAGCCAAAATAGTTTTTCTGAGTTATGAGCAGAAATACTTGACCCCAAACGTCGTGCTTTATATCAAATTGAAGCTATTAAAAATTGCTATTCGATGTGGAAATTTCAAGACTTCAGCGAAAAGAGAAATATTTAAAAAATACAAAAACAACTGCAAAACGGCAAATTATCGGTAATTATGTTTGTAGTTTTTCAATATTTCCCTTTTAGCTAAAGTCTTGAAATTTCTACACCAAATAGGGTTTTTCAATAGCTTCAATTTGATATATAGCCCAACGTTCAGTGTTGAGTATTTCTGCTCATAACTCAGAAAAACTAAAATGCATTGGCTTCAATTTCCCCCCCTGAGTTAGCCTTCCAGTTTATTTATAGTTCAATGGGTTAACCCTGGGCTAAATTGAATTTTCAAAAGCAGTACATGTAAAATGTACCTAACAAGGATCTCGTGCGTTACTACATGTAGTAATGTTGCTGTTCGGGTCGTACAACCGCTTCCAGATTGCCAAATTTATTTTTGCGCAAACTTTTGTTCCATTGAATCGATGACGTAACCACACTTACTCTGTGACGTAACAAAGCCCACTAATTGAATACCCATGATGCTTTGCTTTCGTGAACGTTAATTGAATATAAAAAGCGACGCGCCATAATTAGTTTCGTCATAATGTACGGAAACTCATCAAGAAACTAGCATTGCATAGATTTTTCAAAATTGTTAATATAAACATGATTGAAACAATTGATATGAGAAAAATGAAAAGCCAGTATGAAGAAGTGTTGGCATATCAAACAAAACTTGAGTGGTTGTTGAGAAAGTTAGACAAGATTATTGAAGAACAACAAGCATTTGAACCAAGTGTACAATTGTTGATAGAAAAAACTAAAGTCAGAGCAGATAAAGGTAGACAAAAACTCGAGGATAATCGTCAATCATTAGAAAAGAAATTAGCTGATATTGAAATAAAAACGACAGAAGGTGGGTTGTATAATTTGCGTAGCTACGTTCTGTCAATTTTTCTGTGATTTGACATTCAAGAGTCGTTATATGATAAAATGTTATGCTCGTCAGAAAGTCTTAGCAGGTCGAGCTTCTTGTATTTTCACAAAAACCAGTTACGTTTAATTAAGGTTATTTACAGAAAGAATTTAAAGTTGGCAGTGTCAGTAATATATTCCGTTACAGGCGCGACATACAGGCACAGAGTAGAGACATACAGAGACGTAACTAGTGTACCCACTTTTTTTGTGCGCATGCTCGGCAAGTTACTAGATGCATGCATCTGATTGGATGACGACTTGATGACGACTCACTTTAAACTTGCTGAGCACGCGCAGCCTGAAAACGGTCAGTTACCTCTCTGTATGTCGTATCTACTCTGTGATACAGGCACAGAGTAGATACATACAGAGCTGAACGGATCGTTGTAAACACTGCGGAAAGCTTACGTTTTAATGTACCCACTTTTTTCAGGAGACCGGGCAAAAAATGATCAACTGCGCGTGCTCGGCAAGTTCCGCGAGCAGTTAAAGCGAATCGCCATCCAATCAGATGCATGCATCTAGTAACTTGCCGAGCATGCGCACAAAAAAGTGGGTACGCTAGTTATAACTCTGTATATGTATCTACTCTGTGATACAGGACTAATTTAAATGACGTAGACAAACAATTCGGTTCATTTTATTTTAAATTTTGCTTAGTACATACAAATCATAATACAAATACGTTTTTACAATACACTGATACAAACAATACAGGCACAAACACAGATACAAGAGGCTGGGCAACGACAAGTCCACAACAGCAAAGTTTCCTGATTTAAATGACGTAGACAAACAGTTCAGCGCAAGCACAACTGCGTGTGCGTAATTTCCCAAATTCCGCCGCGCGCGGTTGCTAATGGAATACAGATTAATTAAATTACAAAGATATGCACTCAACAAAGTTTATACCTCGTTGTAGATTCTTTAATCCTTGCGCGTTTTTGAATATTCATTTTATTTTATTACTCAATATTCTGTTTTCTGACTATATATGGGAGAAATGTGCGATATAACCATAGCCTACAATCTCGTGCAAAAATAATGAGACTTTTGATATTTCGTTTTATTTCTGTGATTACCCCCCAATTCAATGTTGAAAAACAAAATGGACCTTTCCCCTTATAACTAAAATTTCGATCTGGACAAAAATTTCATCACAGCTTGAAAGAGCATCACAAAATTAGTAATATTCCAAAGTTTTGTTGCAAAATCTTGTAAAATGCGGATAATATAGCCTTGCGAAGTTTGCCGTTTTTCAGTCATTTTGTATTACAAACGGGAAATTGACATCCGATTCGGGTGTTGGGGCTGCAATTTCCCGTTTGTAATGCAAAATGACTGAAAATTGCAAATTTCGCAAGGCTCTATTTTCCTCATTTTCCAACATTTCGCAACGAAACTTTGGAATATTACTAATTTTGTGATGCTCTTTCAAGCTGTGATGAAATATTTGTCTAGACTTGCCTAGATCAAAATTTTGGTTATAAGGGGAAAGGTCTATTTGACCTGACAATATAGTAAATATACCTTTGTATCGTAATTTTTGCACGTGATTGTACGTAGGTGATCCACTAATTCCTTCTTTCACTTGGCGGCACAAAATTTTAAAATTAAAGCTAGGTACAATATCGTTACTCCTATAATGTTCACAAAAAAATTTGAGCCGCTTCACAACGAGATTTAGCCAAAATGTTAGCTTCTTTTTGAGGTCATATTAGAAGTCAGGTCTTAACCTTAACGATAATTTTTTTAATTATGTGCCACATAGTTTAAACGGCATTCGAAAAAAAAATTCAAAGCTGCGTAACTCCAGGAGAAATAGGTGAATCGACTGAAATATTTTTGCGAACACCGAGGCGAATACTAGTAATGTCATTAGTAATGATATGCCAAAAATATTACACATCCAGCATTGTACCTTTAATTTTAAAATTTTGTGCCGCCAAGTGAAACCCACCAATAAGGAACACAATAGAAATGTTCCAAAGCAGCAGTCAGAAGTTGTACAAACACAATATTATATTTGTCATACTAGTAAGTTAGTAACGAATGTACTCATTTGTTCCTTCAAATGAAGGTGACATCTTTGTTGAAGGAACAAATGAGTACATTCGTTACTATAAACTTACTGGTATTCCGTTCTCTTTCAGCTGAGTAAAATTCATTCCCAAGCCGGCCAAGGCCAAATGAACACTCTGTGTGGTTGTCTTGGTCTATATTTCATGACATCACGATGGACTTTAGTTACTAGACATAATGATGGAACTATAAATATTTCGCTGGTTCTTACCAACGATTGAATTAATTACGAGTGAATACTTGTGAATTTGTTTTACTGATATTGTTATTGAACCTTTGCAAACTAATGCGTTATAACTTATAAGCATGCAACCGCGTTTCATCCAGTCGGTCACTGAAGGTAGTATGTCCCTGACCAAATTTACTGGTTTAATCAGGGAAACATATGGGGGAAATCCGCTATGCTATTTGTAACCTGTGCAGTTGTGTTTTTCAGTCATACTCATTCTGCGAGAAATTTGTGCATGCAGGGCCAGATACTTTTGAAACGAGCGAAAATCGACTTTTTTGCTGAAATAAATACATTTTCAACTTGAAAGCATTAAAATATATTCTCCGTTATTACCAGTATCGTCTTTTACATAAAAAGGAGCGCTGCAGACGAAGTCCATGGCAGGGGCGTTGGAAGCATCAAAAGGTTGGGAGGAGGTACCGGTTTCGAGGGGCACTTTTGGAATGAAAAGGGCACCTAAAAAAATTTTCCCGGAAATGTTGGCGACGGGGGAGGGAAGGAAAAATAAACAAAAGGCACTTTGCCACCGGAGAGAGGGCACTTTTTGTGGCATCTGAAAACTTGGGAGGCCTTGCCCCCCCCTCCCCTCCTTGTTCTTACGCCCCTGGTCCTCTGTGCACGCCTTTTATTTTTCTGTGACGAGAGAACGCGTACCAAGAGGCCTAGGGGCCAGGCTGGAAGCGAAACGTAACTTCAACGCAAAGAGTAGATGTTGCCAATAATTAACCATTGAAAATAAGCGCCCTGGTGCATGCGCTTACCTATGCGCTTAACCGTTGAAACAAGGAACTTTTGAAATGAGGATTATTTAACCCAATATTAAATTGTATTCTGTCCTACATTATTTTAATCTAACGCCAGACGATTTTACTCATCAAGGAGAGAGAGCTGGCGCTTTATGGGTTAACGTGAAAAAAATCCTGACAACCATCAATGCATAACAAATCCAAGAAAAATTCTATTTACCTGAAGAATCCCTGGAGCTTATAACAACGGAGCAGCATGCATGACTCACATTAACAGGCAATCTCGTTCCCCGAGCCTGCGATCCTCTGGAAGGAACGCGAGGCTCTGGGATAATCCGTTTCAGGGAGGAATCTGATTGGCCGTTGAAATGGAATGCGTAGTTCAATCTTAGCCAGGATTCCTGGCTTCCCAGCCGTTCCGCACGTTGTAACCAATAATTTATTGGCGTTGTAATGCCATTGTATGCAATAAAGTATTGGGTTGTAATGGGTCTACGATTAATCCAAACGTTAATCCTAATCCAAACCCTAATCCCTAACCTCTAACCCCACACCCTAACCCTAAAGCCGGGGGAAATTGGTTACAACGTGGCTTCCGGCAACGGATTATCCCAGAGCCTCGCGTTCCGTCCTAAGGATCGCAGGCTCGGGGAACGAGATTGATTAACAGGGGATGTCCCCCCAAATTCAAAAAGTTACGCTGTTTGATTTAATGTCTAGTATTGGGACTATTGATCCAGTAAGTTTGATCATGATGTGGCACTTGTGAACTGTAACACTGAATTGTGACATTCAAATAAGTTTTATTTATATTTAGGACACGCTAACTTAATCTTTTACACAATACGGGCCGAAATCTTTGAAGTTTCAGCTCGAGTACGTTTCGAAAAGTAAAAAAAAACAACAAAAGCGCCTTCATTTAATGGCAATGCTGTAACTGTTTTATTAATTTTTACGTATGTTTAATTATAAAGCTCCAGTGAGTCAAGAAGTCATTCGTAACAATAACAAATACTTTATTTTGTCTTGATCAAACAGCGGATAAACTCATACACACATAACTAACGGTTTTTAACGAGTAAAATGTTAACTAAAACTGAAAACTATTTATAAGGCTGCATCTCATTTAATTTGTGGTAACATTATTGTATTTAAAAAGGTAGCCGATGCGGCGATAGGGATGATTACTAGTAGTGGAATTGTAAAGAAAATGTGTACTGTGTAACATGCGAAGTGTATTGCGTGTTACGGATGAATGAACTTAGCATAACCTTGATTTATCCGGTTTCAGCAGAGGTGAAAGCAAAACTAGGGTATCGTGTACTATCCTTTTCTATATCTTAATGCTATTACTTTGCTTTTGTGGATGCTTCGATTTCTTCTTTAAAGCGAAGAAACAATGTTCTGGAAAATCACTAAATGTGACTGTTTTTGCACCTGTTGACTTAGCAGGTCAAAATATAGTACAATTTACACTCCAGTTCAGTTAAGCATTAAGAAAATCACCTGTTTACAATACATGTATATTCTTTGTATATTCTTATGTATGAATGAACGGAGTAAAACCGAAGAATTTAAAATGGAATTATTTACAGTTTTAAAGCTATGATAAAACAACACCATATAATGCAATCGTTGTTAGAGGGGAGCATTCTCGACTGTGACAAATATGGCCGTGGCCCCGGCGTGGGAGAAACGTCTATTGATCATATTTCGAATGCATGGGCAACGGTAGCAATTAAAGTATAATATAATAATCTAGCAATAAAATTGGACAACACAGATTCACATGTCGCTTTGTAAATTTTGAATAATTTTACAGACAAACTGCAAACACGGTTTATGGCTAGTCAACGATATGTTGCCTTTACAACGTTCTATTAAACGCTGTTTGAATAGAATTAATCGAAAACAAATCATAGCAATCACGTTTCTATCACTTATTGCTATCATAACTTGGAGAATCAATGAACGCGCTGGGGAAATTAATTCAAGTGGCGAAGTTCCATATAAAGCGTTTGGTACCGAAATAATTCCACACAAAGACAAACGAAGCGAATCTAAACAGTATTTATCTTATCAACCACCTGGAGGTGGTTGGAATAATCAAAGAATTGCTTTCGAAAATGCTGTGATTATAGCCGCCATGTTGAAACGAACACTTCTTGTCCAACCATTAGCTCCTCACGATCGCATGTTGGAACTGAAGACGCAATATAACCAGTCAGCGGGGTATACCATCTACAACATGCTCACAACAAACGAGTTGGTTTCCGTCTCGAAACTTATTGATCTTGACAAACTCTCATCATTGCTCTCTGTACAAGAGATAACTTCAAACCATCATGATTTTTTAAAGAAATATAATACTAGTTCGTGGTATGTAGTCTGCCACAATGGTCTAGCTCATGCTTGGGTTGATAAAATACCTGCTAGATTTAATACAGGCAGACTAAGTCTAAATTTTAAAAAATACAGTCAGAATTTCAAAAAGATTGCTAAATATCGTCAAGTTTGCCCAGAGAAAACAGAAAATGAACTGGGGGTCTGGGAATTTTTACCTGAGTTGCGCAAACGACAAGAAGACATAATTTACTTCGAAAAAGGGTCGTTATTTGTTCGGCATATATTCTTTACAGATTACAAAAGAGCTTTAAGCGCGCAAAAAGCACTGATTGACTGGATACAACCATCACCAGAGGTACTATATAACGTTGCAAGAATTGAATCCGCCATTGGAAAACCTTTTAACGCTATTCACGTGCGCAGAAATAATCATAAAACTGGCCTAGGTTTGAGTATTCAACACTGGTTATTACAGTTAACAAAGGCGAATGCACTACAGTACTCTAACAAACTGTATATTGCCACAGATGAAGCGAATTTAACATGGTTTTCTCCGCTTAAAGAAGCAGGATATAGTATTTTATTCGCAAAAGATTTTGAGATTTTTCGTGAAATTCATGAAAGTAGTTCAATTACGAGCAAAGATATCATAGGCTTCCATGAACAGGTGATTTGCTCTAATGCAGAATTTTTTATCGAATCGCATTATTCGACGTTTTCCCGGATTATCGAACGATATCGGGAAGGTCAAATTTGGGACAAAAAATATTTCCGAAATTTGATATTTTCTTCAGTTAAATGGATAAATATTTACAAGTATATATAACAGGACCACCGGAACGAATAGGCAGTGGGAAAAGTCACTATATAAAAGATGCGTTACTTATTTGATGGAACAGTTATCCTTAGATCATACCAGAAAACGCATGAAATGCAATCCTAGGCTCTCAAAGACGCAAAATTAGCGCCATCCTCGCATTTCATGGACTTCATTGGCCAGAAACCAGTCAAACATTATCTGGAACTTTGAATCTCCTGGACTTGAGATTTGGTGAAAATTGCCCTTCCTGGAGTCGTCTCCGGGCCCCTGGCAAGTGCGATTCCAAACTCGTACCCAGGACACTTGATGCAACGGCGGAAGCAAGACGCCCTTGCCCTCGGTTCTCGGTACGTAAATTGTCTGCATATAGCAGAAAAAGTTCCTTATATGTTTGCATGGTGAAATAACTTTCATTGTTTTGTAGCCCTGGCTTATGGATCGAATTAAAGATTTGACAAATACATTTAAGCGGTGTTTGTACAAAACGAAATGAAACCTATCATAATATTGTACACTCAGTGTAAAATTAAGAGTCGTGATGTATACGTAATACTACGGAAAATAAAGGGGGGGGGGGGCTTCTATATGAAGATTTTATCTGCAGAAGACACGGTCAATTTTTATATATGCTAGATAAATTAAGATATTTCTTCATTTCTATTTTAATCTTGAAGACAACATGACGTAACATGAAAATTTAGGCTTAGATATTTTTGTGTTAAATATTGTGTACTATGACTATATGTTTGTTCATCAACAATATTTTGTCCAAAATCACATGGACGGTTGTATAAATGTTGTTCTGTTTTTCCTTGAACTTTTGCTTTTATTTGTTCTTGCTATTCTTCGTGCTTATTATCGCGGTTGGCTGCCTATCCTGCTGGTTTGATCATTTCACGTCTACTGCACTGGAAACGAACAGAGATCAGGAGAGTTGGTAAATATAAACTGAAATTTAACTCTCTTACTTTTAAAGAATACTGAAATAATCACTTTCTTTAGTAAACTTCTTAAAAACAATCACTACTAAATATAACGGTTCAAAGATTATATATTACTTATTTTGAATTATTAATGTCAGTAATTATTATAGTCTAAACTGTAGTATATATACAAGTCTCTACAAGATAATTTCTTCTTAACATTGATAGATCGCATGTCATAAGACTAGTCCCGACATTTAGACCATAAACAGAGAAAGTGAAAAATGTCGTAACGCAATATATAACATCAAGTAATTTGTTTATGTGCGCCATTGTGGAACAGATTTGTATATAACAAAGTCAACAAAATGATCGCTCAACATCATTGTAACTTCTACCCATGCATAAAGATAAAAATACTTGACCAAAACTGCATTTTACAAATCTTTTTGTTTCAGTTTTATTCTTATCAATGACGGTGATCCTTGATTTCACGTCTTTGCAAGAAGAAAGAGCTAAAGATTTTTGGAGGAACGACAAAACAACAGGTAATGTTTACAATAGCTGGCGGGTACCAAACATCAAAGAACTGATCTCTACTCCGAATAAATATTGCTTAAACAGGCTGAACGAGAGACACTAAAGTTTAAGAGAACATGTTTTACTTGATGAAGTAACAAGTTAACTTATGAATGAGCTCATTCTTGTTTGCGGTAATGTGCAGTGCCCTTTCTTCTCCACAGAAATTTTCGCCGAGCGAAGGAAACGCAGTAGTACCGAACTTGAGAATCTATGTAGTTTGAGAATTTGTCTCTGTGGAGGCCAACCTCGTTCACAGGCATGGGAACGAGGTTGAGTGGAGGCCTGAGACAAATTCTCAACGTACACAGATTCTCAAGTTGACCGTTGTATATATAGTTAGATAATCTCGCAATTCATTCCTACAAATCTACACTCAGAAATATTTAAGCAGAAGATTTTAAGAATCGTTTTGGTGGCACAGTTGCATCTCACTTCTGCAGTCTGGGTACTACAGGAACTTCATTGCGCATGCGGTTATCCAATTAACTATAATTTCACCTCGGATGCCATGAGGAAACTGCATGGTGCAACATGGTGCTTTTAGTTTGAATCGAACTCAACAGTATATACCACAGTTTATAATCTTGAAAGGTCTGTCCCATGAGTGTATGTAGTGACAATAATAAGGAAACTTCGGGTTGATATTAAGGATACAACTACCTGAAAAATACAAGGAGAACTCCGACGAACGGCCTTCGCTCAAATTCTCCTTGTATTATTTAGTTGCATCCCCATCAATCCGAAATTTCTTTATACTACAGTTTTCCTATAATCTATAGTGACTTGCCAGTAAGATTTTGCCCTTGTTGGAGCTTTCCAGTTAATAGAATATAGTCCAGAAAGGCTCATTTATATCCACAGGACCTTTTATTATCAGATATAAACTCATGGTTCTCATGTTCATTACGTGCAATATTTATTTATTAAACTTCGCCACTAAAAATATACGAGTGGCAGGGTCACCACAACAGTATATACACATGTGGGCTCTTTAACAATTGTTACATTAAATAAAGTTAATTTATAAGAATATGTACATACATTACAATACAATACAATACAATACAATACAATACAATACAATACAATACAATACAATACAATACAATTAGTTAAGACTTAAGTAGAGTAGAGTAGAGTAGAGTAGAGTAGAGTAGAATAGAGTACAGTACAACGCAATATTAACATTATTTAAACTTTTTCTAGTTCAACGCAACGTTTGTAAAAGAAAACGCATTTCGAACTGGATATATTGCATTTATTTATTCATTTGGTGCTTTGGTTCTGCGCATGCCCGCCAATGGATCCCGACCAAAGACGATATGGTACATCACGTGCCTAGCGGACCTGTTCTTTCACTTCGTACCCAATCTCCCACACAACATATGCGCTTTCACGTGACATTTGACACAAGTCTTCATCAATTAGATCAAACAAAAAGAAACTTAATCATTCAAAAGTTAATCACAGAAGCTCTAGATTATTTTCATAAAACTCTTAAAGTAAAAGCATCAAAACAGCCAATTCGTCTTCAGCACATGTGCCGTAAACGCTCGTATTTTCTCAAAGACAAGGAAGGGAAAAGTAAAGGAAGTACAATATTTTGTAAGAAAGCGTGTGTAAAAACATACTGTGGTCCTGTTACAATACCACAGCAACATCTAGACATATGTAGAACATGCGATGAACATGGCTCACAATGTCAGTCACAAAACAAAGAAAATATAGAAGGCATAAAACATAAAGATTTTATCCTGTATGTATCGTCGTTACAGACACAACATTGCAGAGAGACAAAAGCGGTTGCTTATGCATCCTATTGTCAACAAGAGCATTCGCTGGATAGACCTATTGCTGGCTTTGCTAATATTTGTCCTGGTGAAATACAAACTGATCCACGTCATTATCCTGGTCTCTTAGCAACCATTAAACACGAGATTTTTCATGCCCTTGGTTTCAGCGCAGGTCTTTATGCATTTTATAGAGATGGATTGGGTCGACCATTGACACGGAGAAACGCATTTGGTCTACCTAGCTATAATAACAATACAAACTTATATCAATGGAGTGGAAATATTGTCAGGGAAATAACACGGAAAGACTGGGAAACAGCGCATGGACTAGTAGAACATGAAGTATTGATGATAGTGACTCCAAAAGTTAAACATGAAGTGAGAAAACACTTCCGGTGTAGCTCTTTAGAAGGAGCAGAGATTGAGAACCAGGGGCGTACTGGAACACGATGGACACATTGGGAAAAGCGAGTGTTTGAAAACGAGGCAATGACAGGAACATATACTCAGAATCCAGTGTTCTCTCGGATGACACTGGCATTGATGGAGGATACAGGGTGGTATAAGGTGAACTACAGGATGGCAGAGGATTTAGATTGGGGGAGAAATCTTGGTTGCATGTTTGCCAAACGCAGCTGTCGAACCTGGATGAGAAGTCAACTTAAGAATAATGATTCTCCTTCGCCATTTTGTTTCCAAACCAAACAAACCCCATTACACACTCGTTGTACACATAGTAATGATGCAGTAGCGCTATGTAATCTTGAGAAATACTCGAGCGCTCTACCAAGAGAATATCAATATTTCAACCACCTGTCTAGAAACGACGCTTTAAAATCTCTTATAACAGATACAAGAGCGTTTGGTGGATCTGTCGGCCTTGCAGATTACTGCCCGTTTTATCAAAAGTTTAGTTTGACAAACTCTGATCAAAAAGCCAGAGAAACAGCGTGTCATATGCCGGATAATAGCCCCGACTATTTTGATAATTACGCTTTAGAAAGTTACGGTTCGGAATCCAAGTGTGTAGAGCAGGCCAGCCAATGGAGTGCACAGAAGGGACGTCTGACTCGTACCATGTTGGACTGGGGTAGTGGTTGTTACAAATACTCATGTTCAGATGAGACACTTTACATTATTGTTGCAGGAACGAAATACAAATGTACGAAGAGAGGACATGTTTTACACATCAATAGTACTTTAGGACAGTGGTCAATAATTGGAACATTACGTTGTCCTGAATGTAAGCAGTTTTGTCCTGGGCGGTGCTCAGAGAAACCAAATATAAGACAATCTATTTTAGGAAAATCTGATTCGCAATACGAACAGACTGTTACTAACGGCAGCAATCCTACATGTATTGGAATGCTGCACTCAGACTTGATCTTTTTATATTTTTACTGTATTATAATATTTGTAATCTCATCTGTATAACAAAACAACATAGATGAATCCTTCATGCTTAAGGTTACATCACATGATACACGTGCGTTCTGGTAGATTGGACAATGCGCAACTAATCTTAAGGCACGTTTACACTTGCAATTTTTGCCGCGATCTTCTTCTCCTGATGGATGTGAACGAGTGGATGAGTTATGAATGTTTAGATGAGGGTGCATGAACTCATCTACTCTTTCACATCCATCACAAGAAGAAAATCACACTTGAAATCGCGGCAATAGTTGCAAGTGTAACCGGGACTTGTTCAGTGAAGGGACACCAAATGTTCAGTGAAGAAAGCCAGAAAAATGCTGATTACGAAAGAAATGAAAACCTTTCAATGATAGCTGAATAACTGTGAAACAAACTGTAACAATGAATCCACCGAGTTACATACGTCCGTCATATATATGGCTGGATATACCTTCTTCTCAACCCACCATAATGCTGTACTGTTCAAGCATAGTAGTATATTTGGCTGCCTTGCGATTATTTTGATGAAAACAAAGCGAATTGTATTAAATATATTCTCTTTCCACTTTATAATACTTACAGAAAACTTACATTCAAATCCCGTCCATTATTTCCTTTTATTCTTAGACTGTTTAAGTTTATCTAGTCCATTGATATATTTGGCTGCTATCTGATAGTCATCTATAAAACGATATTGATATTTTCAGATATTTAGATATTGACATATTGTATGGACATGTGACTTATCGTTTCGCCTGACAAAGAACATAATATATAACTTTACCTTGCAACGTTCTAGCCACATGCAAAATTTGATTTCCTTGAATTAGAACTTGTTGACCTGGATTAGATTTTCCTGGTAATTGTGAAACTAGTAATGAAAAAGTAAGCATCAAAAACAGTTTCAACTGACACTGAAACCCTCTCATCCTCAGAGGTTCCCGTGTATTCCAACCCCCAGCAGTTAAAGTGTCCATTTCACGGACAGGGAATTAGCGTATTTCGAGTGAGCCCAAAAATCCATGAAGACCAACATATCGTCCAAGGACTAATTCGTATGAGCCTGGTTAACTGAGAAACTCACTATGAGTGGGGGAATTATTTCTGTGTTCATATATGGCTGCTTTTATCCCACATAATATCAACAAACTCTCGGTTGTATTACAAATTTAATAGTGACGTTTGGGTCTATATTAATGTTTATATTTTGTTTTTATTTTCTGGACATGCCGCTCAAAATCAGCAAAAACGTCCATCCCGGTCAGGTGGAATGATTAGAAAAGTTCATATCGAAAATTTTATCCCACTTAACCGAGATCCCACACACGCTGGGCTGGCTCGTTTCTCATACTGTATGAACACAAATTGAATTTTATAAACTTTAGCAAAGGGCATGCAGATCTCAATCAGGCGAGTGTCCCGCGGTTAACTCATATACTAACAGGCTAGGCCTGGTTCACACTGGCAATTTTGTCGGCGATTTTTCCCCTCCTGGCAAATGTGATTGACATGCAAAAGTCACTTCTGAAAAGTGACTCTATATTTTTGTGTGCAAGTTCACTCATTTACATCCACCAGAAACACAAAATCGCCGACAAAATTGCTAGTGTAAACCACGTCCTAAGAAGATACAACACAAATATTCTTGGTGCGGTCTGGGACTACATACAGGCTACAAAGAGAATCGAAATGACAGATTTCCTGACATAAAAGAGAGGTCACCCCAGTTCCGACTTATGGGTATGGGTATTCTCGAATAATCAGCGTACGCGTATACTTTCGAAGCAGACACGAGTTTACTGTGAAAGAAATGAAAAAATCTGATCAAATATGCATGCATCAGAGAAAATTTATATTCCGTCGTATCGTAACCTCTAAAGCCATTACAGAAAGGAAATATTGATACAGTCACGAAGTACCTGAAGTGCTTGAGGCAGCTTTGAGTTGCAGTTTATGAGAAAATTCTCCTGGATCAATACCGTAATATTCCAGATTGTGAACCAGAGTAACCTAAAGTATTGAAATACTTTGTAATGTAAGCTCGATGTTTTGAGACATTATACTTGTATCAGACGTGAGCGATACGTGTGTTGCTACAGTACTGCATGTTTGCAGCACAATAAGTTAGATGATGGAGTATCTACTACTATTAGGAGCGGTCACTAGATTGTGGTGTCTCACGGTCCTTAATAAGAAGTGTTAACGACTTACAACTATCTCCAAATTAATATAAGACGCTATGGGCAATCCCATACCTTTTTATTGCCCATACGTTGTTCCAATTTGACTTCAATAAGTTCAAGTTTACCTTTTCTAAAAGCATGAACAATTGTACGTAAGGGGATTAAACTACAATTCGAATGGTTGTTCTCAACAGCATTGCATTGAATTAAGCCCCGGGCGAACGAGAGTTGACAGTCACGCATTGTTACGGGGAACATTTCAAGCTCTAGATGAACAAAATAAAGGTTCAAATTGATGAGTGTTACAACTATGTTTTAAACAAAATACAGTATACTGCTGGGTAAGCATGAAGAACAGCCAACGTCATGACTGCCAACTCTCATACACTCCCATCCTCGTTTAATCCGGGCTTTAGAGACCTTTCGTACACACGTATATTAGAATTGCATAAGTACGGTAAACGGAAAGAGCGGGACAAAGTTAGGGGATACTAAAGTTGGTTTTAAACTGTGGCATTGGCGCTAACAAAATACACCGGAAATGTATGGAAATTTACACGAGATCGAGGCTAGTTGGGGACAAAATAATGCATTTCTAGTTACCTGGTAATTGGCGCTTGTCCGTTAAATGTCACAACATGACAAGGATTCATGCGATCAATAATTCTAATAAAAGTAATAATATAAATTAGTATAATTACATAGGTGATTATTGAAAATTCTCCACACTGATTGGTTGCCCGGTATAAAGCGATTTTGGAAATGGCGGCCGAAGCAGTTTTGTCAATTAAATGACGAAGAAATATGCCTTTTGTTATTTTTTCCCAAATAATCACCTATGAAATTATACTAAAACAATTATTCACCTCAGGCTCGGTGATTATCGTGAATAAAAACCTCGACTTCGTCTCGGCTTTTTAAATTTCAGCAGAGACTGCTATTTGGAGCAAAGTGTAAGGCTTTAAGATTGAAAACAATCCATGCAAGCCCTTTATGGAAAGCACCGAAACGAGGCTAGTCACTCTTCTTTGCTAAATCTACCACAAACTCCAGTATTTTTAAGGTTTAATTTCTCAAAGAGAATTATATTTACATTTCGTAAAACTGAAAGTCTTCTACACGGCAGCAATGATTATCTAGCCTCCTGCGCAGACGTTGTTAGTGGCCGAGGCCTCTGCGCAGGAGGCTATGATTACCTTAATTGGTTGAAATTTATTTTTGGGAGAAAAAAGAATGACGATTGATTTTATCTTCTCTAATGCGATGATTTGTCTGAATTTCATAGCTTATCCGACAAACCTTTTGAAAAGTTCGTCCCATGAAAGAGAATCATAATTATCTTCTCCCTTCTTATGAACAACGGAAAACAATACTGGATCAAGTTTTACCATTCTGACAAAAAAAAAAACAACAAAAATTCTTTAAACAGCGTCTCCAAAAATATTAATGGTGCATTGTTAAAATTTACGTTAGAATACGGTTTTCGCAGCCAAGTGGTTTTGTGCAGACAATAGAATAATCTGTTCCATAATGAAAACTGTCTTATAGACGTGTTTCAAACGCGGATTGTAAATGGCCCGATTTGTACTTTGATGTTTCATCTGCACGACCTAGCTAGTTCGTCGATCATTCGGTCAAGGTGAACTATCTGCGTAGATAATCATTCTGTGTTTTAATATGGCATTAGGTGAACTATCAGGAAAATGTCAGTCATGATGTGTTCTCAGGACCATGCCAGTTTATATATTGCAGAGACGGATTTTCATATTTTCGTTCGGGGGGGTGGGGGGGTGGGTGGTGGATAAATATC